AAGGTTCAGAATGTGCCCCTGAGGAGGCAACCAAGCACATCGGTTGTCAAGAGAAGGGCAAAGGCATACGAATGCAGGAACACAATTTCTCTGGCTGGAATCCACACTCTGAGGATTTTAGAAATTTAGTGAATGATGCTGAAGAGTTTCTTCCATGTGGGCATTCAGCTAAGCCATTGTCACAAGGATGATTAATTCTTTGAGGTCAGGCATGGCAACCACCGTCTACCGACAGAAAATTGTAGAAGCTTAACCCCGTTGTTATATTTTGAGCTCTACTTTCATTGTCACAGCAGCAGACATCATATTTTATTAGATTCTGAGTACTCTCTTAGCACATACCTGGTGCTCCAAATAATTTGTTAGTTTGAAGTGGATTAAGTGCAACTGTCACATAAAAGGGGTACCTGAAGTACAGCAGATACGACTTCAAGATAAAACCTCCTGCAATCTAAATGTTAAAGTGCAGTTGTGGTTCAACTATGGTATGTGATAAAAAGGAAGCACTGCAGTGTGTTTTGATATGCCTGATGAAGGTCTGGAGGGCTGAGGCTCCCCGCAGAAGTGTCTGGAAGCTGAGATTTGTGGTGTGCATCCTCAGGCATTGAAAGGATTTCTGAGCTGGAATCATCACAGAACGCCTACAAGTTTGAAGTCACAGCTGCTATTTATTCATTAAACAGAGAACATTATGCTTTATTGGGCCTGAGTGACTAGAAAAGAATGCATATAAAATTGTTCCTTCTTTTCAGGGGTTCTGTACTGAAGGAAGAAGGTAGATTCCAGGGCTCTAGAGGCAAAATGTGGTAAAGGTGGAGTGAGAACAGATGGGCAGAGGCTTGGGGAATATTTGACCTAGGAGAACTGGCATGGCCCATGACGGGGACCTTAGCTCAGATATCCTATGCTCCTGCCTAACTCTCCAGCACCCCTTCCCCAGAGCTGTGCCGGGCATCTGTAGCCCAGCTCAGCATCTGAAGTCCAGCTCAGCATTCCCTTGGGCACACATCCCTCTTTCCAGTTTAACGAGTAATCCCTCTGCTCCTGCGCTTCTGTGTCATGAGCACGATTAATAATTCGTTCACGTGCAAACTTTCATTATTATGACAATGTATTCACTTTGTATTTCAGTTGTAGCCCCCTCCCTCATCTCCCTCTGGTCCCAGCCTTCCTCCCTCTTTCTCCCTATATCTCTTCCCTAGCCCACTGACTTCCCCTACTGTCTTACCCTAGCCTATCAAGTCCCATCAGGACTGTCTAGATCCTCTTCCTCTGTGGGCCAGGGGAAGTGATCAAAGAGCAGGCAACCAAATTCATGTCAGAGACTGTCTCCTCTTCTCTTACTAGGAAATCCACATGGAGACTGAGCCATCGATGGGCTACATCTCAGCTTGGGGTTTAGGTACTCTCTATGCATGGTCTTTGGTGGATGCATCAGTTTCTGCAGACCTCTCTGGGCCCAGCTTTTCTGGCTTTGTTGGTCTCCTTGTGGAGCTCCTGTTTCCCCGAGGTCCTTCTATTTCCCCCTTCTTCCATAAGACTTCCTGTCTTCTGCCCAAAGTTTAGCTGTGAGTCTCTGCATCTGCTTTGATCCCCTCCTGGGCAGAGTCTTTCAGAGAACTTCTGTGGTAGGCTCCTGTCCTGTTCCCTGTCTTCCATACTTCTGGTATCTATCCTGTTTGCTCTTCTGAATGGTGATTAGGCATCTTCCCTGAGGCTCTTTTTGTTGTTCAGCTTCTTAGGTCTGTAGATTTTAATACATTTATCCTATATAGTATGGCTAATATCCACTGGTAAGTGACTATATACTATGCTTGTCTTTCTGCTTTTGGGTTACCTCACTCAGGATGATCTTTTCTAGTACCATCCATTTGCCTTCTAATTTCATGATTACCTTGTTTTTAATAGCTTAGTAATATTCTATTGTGTAAATTTACGAGTTCTGTATCAATTCTTTGGTTGTTTTCACATTCTGACTATTATGAATAAAGCTGCTATGAACATATTTGAGCAAATGTCCTTGTGATATGGTTAAGTGTCTTTCAGATATATGCCCAAGAGTGGTATAACTGGGTCTTGAGGTAGTACTATTTCCAGTTTTTTGAGAAAGTGCCAGATGGATTTCCAAAGTGGTCATACAAGTTTACATTCCCACAAGCAATGGAGGAGGGTTCCACTTTCTCCACATCCCCTTTAGCATGTGTTGTCACTTGAGTTTTTGAACTTTGCTATTCTGATGGGTGAGAGATGGAAGCTCAGAGTCATTTTGATTTTCATTTCTCTGAAGACCAAGGATGCTGAGCATTTCTTTAAGTGTTTCTTGGACATTTGATATTCCTGTGTTGAGAATTTTGTTTAGCCCTGTACCCCAATTTTTAATTGGATTATTTGGTTTGTTGATGTTTAATTTCTTGAGTTCTTCATATATTCTGAATGTTAGCCCTCTGTCAGATGTAGTGAGAGTAAAAATATTTTCCCAGTCTTTAGGCTGTCATTTGTATCACTATTTGCAGATGATATGATAGAATACATGAGTGACCCCAAAAATTCTACTGGGGACTCCTACAATTGATAAACACCTTCAGCAAAGTGACCGGAAACAAAATTAACTCAAAAAAAGAAATCAGTGGCCCTCCTGTGTACAAAAAACAAATGGGCTGAGAAAGAAATTAGGGAAACAACACCCTTCACAATAGCCACAAATAACATAAAGTACCTTGGTATAACTCTAACCAAACAAGTAAAAGACTTATATGAAAAAATAAATAAATAAAATTGTCTCTGAAAAAAGAAATTGAAGATGATGTCAGAAGATGAAAAGATCTCCCATGCTCATGGAACAGTAGAATTAACATAGTTAAAATGGCCATCCTACCAAAAGTAACCTACAGATTTAATGTAATTCCCATCAAAATGCCAACATAATTCTTTACAGATGTTTAAAGAATAACTCTCAACTTCATATGGAAAAACACTCCCCCCCCAAAAAAAAAAAACAAAAACAAAAACAGAATAGCTAAAACTATCCTGTTCAATAAAAGTTCTGGAAGTATCTCCATCCTTGGTCTCAAGCTGTACTATAGAACAACAGTAATAAAAACTGCATGGTTCTGGCATAGAAACAGACTGGACAGTCAATGGAATCAAGTAAAAGACCCAGAAAAATTCCCACATACCTAAAGACACCTGATTTTTGACATAGAAACCAAAACCATACAATGGAGAAAAGAGAACATTTTCAATAAATGGTGCTGGTCTAACTGGCTGTCTACATGTAGAAAAATGCAAATAGATCCATACTCAATCACCCTGCACAAAACTAAAGTCCAAGTGGATCAAAGACCTCAACATAAAACCAGACACACTAATTCTGTTAGAGGAAGAAGTGGGGAAGAGCTTTGATTTCATTGGCACAGGAGACAACTTCCTGGATAGAACACCAACAGCACAGACTCTAAGATCAACAATCAATAAATGGGACCTCAGGAAAATGAAAAGCTTCTGTAAAGCAAACCTTCTTTATTAGGCAGAATCTTTGAGAACACTGAGTGTAATATGTCTTTCGTTTTTCCACTCTAACACCCCATAAGTTCACAAGGTTCCCTTCAGAGTCACAGGCGTTGCTTCTCTTTGTGGTTTCTTTCCTTTTGCTTCCTTCCTCCCATGTAAGGAAAAGAAAGATTTCGATATGCCAAAATCTTTAAAGATAAACATCTATAAGACAAATACTTCATATTTTCATTCTTACCATTTTCTCTTTGAATGTGTGTGTCATCTCAATGGTTACCATTTTACTTATAATCTTAACAAGACTCCTAGAGGGAGTGGAGAATGACCCCTCCTAAGTCTCCCTGGGAAAGCAAGAACTCTATACCAAATGCTTTATTTGACTTAATCTTTCCAAGAACCCTGTAAGGTCTGTTTTAGCATCCATAATTTATAGGTGAGGGGTGCTGGTTAGGTGGCTAGATGACATGCTCAAGGAGGCCCACTGGGACCAGGAGAACCAAATGTGGATTGCTCCCACTCTTCTTATTAGCTTCCTGAATTTCCATCACAAGATTTAAAACCTTAAGTCGTCCTTGGTATAAGTGATGACCTTGGCACTAGTCCTGCCTTGTTTCTCAAGCAATCACAGACTCTTATTGCCTATCAAGGAATCCAGATTCCCACATGGCTACAAACTGCCCACGATAGTATGTTTTTATTGTCAACCTGGCATAATGTAGAATCAACTGGGAAGAGAATTTCAGTGAAGGATTCGTTAGATTAGCTGGCCTGTGGGCATGCCTGTTAGGGGCTGTCTTGATTAAGAAAATTGATGTGAAAATACTCAGCCTAAAATCAGGTAGGCTCAATCCCTAGGCTCGAGTCCTAGACTGTATAAAAAGGAGAATGGAGGCTGAGCACAGACAGGCATGCATGTCTTCATCGAGTGCTTCCTCTCCTAGATGAAGGATGCTACTACTTCAGGTTCACCACCTTGGCTTTCCAGCAGTGATGGATAGTAACATGGATTTGTGAGCTAAAATAAACTCTCTGTCCCCTAAGTTAATGAAAACCCCCTATGTTAATTAAAATGCTGCGTTACAGGGTTTGGTGATCAAATCATTGTTCTAGATAGGTTTGCTTTCTAAGGTTAGTTTGGCTTCACCGAAGTCTGTCAGTCCCTGCAGACACTGTTGCCTATGTATTGCATCTTATCACAGTGTCAAGTGTATCATTCTACTCCATCTGAACCCTATCTTAAATGTTCTTGTTAATCTAGAAATTCATTACACCATGAATGATACTGTGGTCTCAGAATTATGGGCATGTCTTTGGTCTGGGTGAAACATTCTTTGCATTGTCTATTCCATATTGACATTTATTGCACAGTTGAGAATTTCAGGATTAGAACAGCAATACCATGCAATAAAGAAGCCTCTCAAATTGTTTTGTTCATATTCTAATAGAACTTTCTCAGTGTTTATTTCAAGAGACATGACAATAATACTTACCACCATGATATAACGAGGTCTATACTGAATGGTTCCAAACAAACCCAATATGACAACTATTATATGAAGGAAATTTCCAAGAATGGGTGCCCACTGGAAGCCGAGGAAGTCGAAGATCTGCCTCTCCAAGGCTGAAAGCTGCACCAAAGCAAAGAGCGTTCATTAGTGGCTAATCCAAGTTCCATTAATTCATCCCCTCATTAGCTCCCAGTTGTAGAAATATGCACATTCAGTTCCAATCATGGTTGTAAACTTTGCTCTTCCTTCCTTCCTTCCTTCCTTCCTTCCTTCCTTCCTTCCTTCCTT